TTCAATACAAAAGTTCCCACTAAATCATACTTATATCTGATTAAAATAAAAGAATTAAACTCAACCCTCTCAAAGAATACCTTTACAAAGTTTAAGAAGTCAAAAGCCAGTTGAATGAGGTCACAAGTACAGAAGACTGTGCATGGTTTGAGTTGAATTGTAATGGTGCAAGGTAACAAAAGCTTTGTAAATTAATGACGCATATTAAATTGGCCCAGCTCCAGGTAGATTACAACATTTAAAGATTCTTGAAGATAAGAGGCAGTACCTCCTAAGTTATCTGCTAAATGTATGGAAAGTTGTGAAAGAGCACAAGCATCTAATCCAAAACTTTAAAGTAATAGATGAAATATCCCAAGACTTAACATGAAGAGCATAGCCTTATTATCTATATTACCTATGAGATAAATCAAACAGATTTAGGCAGAAGAATCATTTTAAATTGTAACAATAGCTTTCTACATTAAAGGTTTTCCTTGTTAGAAGCCCATCATGGTAACAGTTAGGTAAATGGTTTATTGTCATGATTCAAAAGTCCTTAACTGTTGAAGAAATTGTAATATTTTAAGCAAAAGATCCTCGACACCTATTTCCAAGTGTAAGCGAGCTCTGTTCAAACATCAATTAAGTATATCTAATCAACGGGAAGCCAAATAACATTGCCTCTATCCAATGCTTGTTATTATGGATTGCAAGTTATTCAATCCCTCTGTCCCAATGAAAGAAACAGGCACAACATTTTATTATGATAATCACCTTAAAAAGCAGTGCACGGTGACGTGAAAGCCCAATTTTTAGGGATCCGATTGGTAGCACACTGGTGTGAAGTGATGTCCTCAACTCGGTGCTTCTTTCCATCCATTTGGCCAATATGATATTTGCATCCTTTACTGGCCCACCTAAATGCCCAGTTACAAGTTCAGAAAGCCTTAGTACTAACAGACTAATCTCACTGGCAGGGCAGTCCAATGTAAAACAGTGTGCAATCTGCATCAACTCTTCCAAGGAGGGGTCAATTCTCTGATTAATTATCACACCTTCAAAGTTAGAAGTCCCAGGATTTGTTTCAAGTTCAGAAAGAGATGGCATTTTCCCACGACTTGCTGGATCTGTAAAGAGAGTATATACATCATAGAAACCATCAACAACTTTCTCCTCATAATCCATCACACCATAATCCTGATAAGAGGGTAAAATAAGTGAGACAAAAGATTGGAAACCAAATTATGAGAACCAAACTGACAATCATCTTCAATAGAAAACATATTCCAGGAATTAGCTATGTATAGAAATTATTAAGCTTTTACAGGGGAGACCAAAAGGGAATAACACAATCGATAAAGTATTGTGAGGAAAGGAACCTATTCAAATCTTCAAGGTTAATCAAACGACAGATAACAAGACAAATCCTCTCGAACCCTAAAGATACATGTGCCTTTCAAATCAAAAATAGCATGTCGGTGATGTTAGGTAATCATAGTCTTATCACCTGAACTTAAATATCCATTATAAGGAAAGTTTAAACTCAAATCAGCTAAGAAACATGAGAATCTAAATAAAGAAAATGTGCCTGCAACTATGCAAAATCTCTGCATCCCTATCAAAAGAAAAAAAAAGACAAAACATGTAATACCTTAACATCCTCACCAAACAGTTCCCTTGTCAGACCTCTATTTGAAAATACAGAAATACAACAAATAAATGTAATTGATATTATAGTTGGTAAGGTGCTGCAGTGCTTGAGCTTTGGATAGATCAGCACCCCAAGTTGAACATTTTTGCTTGAAACACCCAAGCTAAACTACAAATTCGTATCTTGGTCTTCCATGACCATCCATCCAACAACAACATACTCAATTGTAATCCCACGAGTGGGTCTGGAGAGGGTAGAGTGTATGCAGAGATAGAGAGGGTGTTTCCATTAGACCCTAGCTCAAGGAAAAACATTTCAAAGTAGATCAGAAAAAAGAAATAGAATATTATTAACATGGATTTCTTTTTCCATGACCATCCATCTGAATCATGTATTTCTTTTTCTTAAGTTTTCTAAACCTTGAGCGAGGGTTTATCAGAAATAACCTTTGTGCCTCTACGTACACTCTACCCTGTCCCACAACCCCACTTGTAGAATTTCACGGGTATTTGTTGTTGTTTATCAATATATTAATAACTTTTTTTAAAAAAAAGGCTAACCCTTCTTCACTTCAGTTACTGAATCTAATCTTTCTACAAGTTACATTGTTTGCGAAGTTTACAACTCAAAGTGCTACACTACCGTGACACTACAAAAGGACATAAAAACAGAGATAAGGAGATATTCTCACTTGAACTTGAACTAATCACAGATAGCAAGTTCAATAAGACCATCAGCTTAATTAGCAATGTGAAATTATTGGAAGCAAATTCCACAACAATTCAAGAATTTTTTCAAGATTTACCCAATACTGCCTCGATAGCAAGTCCGCAGCGGCATCCTCCCTATCACGTGCCAACTCAACAGCGCTTCGCCCTCTCCCTAGTATCTGACCGTTGCTTGAATTAACATCAGACAGAGCTTGAGATTGCGAGGATGACACACTCAACGCTAGGGCAAGTTGCACCTGATACTCTTCCTCCGAAGTATAATAGTCCTGCTGTCGATTGATCGTCGAAATATTCCCTCCTCCACCACCCGCACTCACCGAAACAGCAGTGGTCGCCGTTGACGCATTTGAAATCGTGGGAGGACTCGACGGTGATTGAAGAACCGAACTGGAATTCCGATGATCGGTAGTACATGACGTCGAAGACGACGATGATACACCCGCTGCCGGCGAAGATGACGAGGATACCGATGAAGTAGATTGAACGTCGTTTGATCGATTTGAATGATGAAGCTTCTTGAAAATGTGTTTCATCGTTTCTCTCTCTATATCATACCTTATTTTCCCCTCTCTCTATTAGTAAATATGTGTATATACAAATCAACCTCTACTACTACAGTTAGTCTTCACACTCTCTCCTATTGACGGTAAAAAGGAAAAAGGGGATTGTAGAGAGAGAAAGAGGGGAGGGAAAACTTAGGGAGGTGAATATTGGGGGTGACTAAACTAAAAAAAAAGGGCATGGAGTTGAGCGAATTTACGGGAAATGACATTAACGCGCTATTTTTACTGAAATTTCTCTGTGTGCCTCAAACGTAAGGAAAATGGAACATTCTTACGCAGTACAACTATTTCCAAAAGTAGAAGACAAGTATGAATGGTATATTTTGTCAACAGATTACATCAATAACTATTAAAGCAATTTCAAATAAATTGAGTCGACTATATAAAATAATATTATAAAAAAATATAATCTTTTTATACTTTTAACTAACATACAAAATTCCTAACAAAAACATGGTGTTTAACTTTGAAATTATTGATTATATATTATAAATCAGTTGAATTAAAGGAATCACTACAACTCAATAGTAATAAACGAATGATTGGAAACCACCACTATAAACATGCAAGTCAATTATCAACTACTGATTTCTAAATAAATATCAAGTAATAATAACTTATGTCGATGAGGAGACTTATTTCTATGTTATTGTTGATGAGGATTGAGGAGACTTTGTTTCTTTGTTATGTATTTACCATTTACGTAATAGGATTATACCATTAATGAAAGAGGTAACCATGTATACAAATCCTATAAAGTATAGAATTTAAATTGAACTAAATAGAGAAATTGGATTAGTAAGAAATTCAACAATAATATACCCAATAAAATTTTTAAAGTGAAGTCAGGAAAGATAGAATCTACACAAATTTAATCATTACTTTACAAAAGTGGAGAGATGGTTTCCCAACCTACTTTATTTACAAAATATAACTTTAATCGTTATGAGCTCAATGCACATTCTTTGTTGTATTCAGGGGTGAATTTAGGTGTAAAATTTTAGGTCACCGAAACTCATGGTCATCCGACTAAATTTGATATATCATTTGTATAATTCTTAAAAACATATTAAATATTAGCTAAAGGAACACATGACCAAAATAACCTGATGGTTTACTGGTCTGAGGACCTATTTTCAAGATTAATGTTGCTAGTTTGAATCCAGCGAGCGCTCAATTTACCTATTGTTTTTTTAAAAAGGGTCTATTTTATTACAAAAAATGGCCCATATATATCTTTTTCATCTAATAGAAGTGAAAAAATTAATTTTAAATTAATTTTTTTATTTTAATTATAAAAAATCCATGTAGGGGTATATTTGATTTTTTTTCACACATGAATTATTTTTTTGACTTATTTAATTAACATTTTTTGAGTTTCTTATTCATATTTCTTTGTTTTTTCTTTCACTTTAGTGTAAAACTAAAAGAAAGAAGTGTGAATGAAAAAAGTGAAAAAAATAAGTATTTTTTTGTGGCTATTTTGTAGTTTGAATATTTTTTTGGCGCCTATATTGTAATTTAGTTTTTGTATCTATGATAAATTCTACAATAAAATTAGTGGAAAAATAAATTTGACCGTTAAAATAATAAATCCAAATTAATCGTTGAATAAAAAAAGTAAAAAAAAAATGAGAAGATCAAATATACCTTACATGAATTTATTTTTTTAGTATTAATTTTTGCATTCCTTAGAGAATAAGAGTATATGTGACTCATTTGTATGACATTATACAATCACTTTCATAACGAGATGTATATCAACTCTTATTGCAAAGTTAAAGAGTATATTCAGTTGTTTTCTCTACAATTTTAGATTGTATTCCAATTTTCCTAAATTCAATATTCATCCTACTAGTGTTGGAGAGTTTTGTGGTTCATTCAACGTCACATTTCATAGAAAGATAGTTGATAAAGTAAAAATCTCATACGATCAAATCTGTCATAATAAATGTTTATTTTACTAAAATATTTGGATCTAATTCATGATAAGTAGATCATAACAAGTGTCTTCTAAACCAAATTTCACCAATATCCTTTTTTTTAAGGGACAGTAATTTATCTTTTTTAAGAAATTTCCAAAATTTAATTTCCATTGGACAAAAGAACCTAAACTCATAAGAGAACTTAAAACACAGAGATCAACATTGGCAAAGCATAAAGCACAAGTGAAGCTACATCAAAACAACATCCTAGTAAATATAGTGATCAATATTTATGATTCTAATTCAAGCTAAAGGGTTTCAAACTCCAGTTGATCCAAAGCCTCCAGAGCCTCTAACTGTGGAGTCTAGATCGTCAACCTCCTCGACTTCTGGCACGATGATTTTCTCAATGATCAATTGAGCTATTCTGTCACCAATTTTCACTTCAAAATCAACATCAGAATGGTTGAAAAGTATAACTCCAACTGGTCCCCTGTAGTCAGCATCGATCACACCTGCCCCAACGTCTATAGAATGCTTCCAGGTCAATCCTGATCTTGGAGCTATAAAAATTAACAGATCACCATCGAATTAGCCCCTAATATTCACAATCAAATTTCAAATATCCAACCTATCACAAAATTACTGGGTTAGGACTACAAGGTTGTATTCGACTAAAATGATTCAAACATGTAAAAAGGAGATGCATAAATGTTCTAGTGAGAAGGTGTAAGAAGTTGACTACAGCGGGTCAGGAGTTTGCTAAGGTGTGACTCAAATTCATAACCGTAGGGTTGAGAGTGAGGTGTTTAACATCGGAGCAAATTATTTCAGTTATTGTACTATATCATTTCTAAAGTATCGACTTTCTTTGTCAAATTGTAGTAATCATCTTCTACTCAAAGTGTGTTTGGGATGATGGAAGTGAAAAAAGGGGCAAGAAAATACCTATGCGGGCATATGTTCCTTCAGGAACGGCAATACTAAGATCTGTAGGTACTAGAGCCTTTCCCCTGGCAGGCACTTTCGTCTCCGTTGCACTGCACCAAAAACAGAAGAAAAGAACTCAGATCCCCAAAATTGAGTTAATCAAACACATACAAAATTTAGGGAAAAGATCCATTTTGTGAAGTCTAAATTTATCAAAAAAAAAGAAGAGGGGGAAACCTGGAGAGATCATAACCAGCAGAGAGAGGAGAGCCTCTAGAGGGCAAAACAGCGTTATCAGAGAGCTTTTTGACGCGGAAGAAGAGAGCAGAGGAAGCTATGCCATTTGCAGCCATTTTTATTTTTTGAAGTAGAGAAGCTTCGGAAGGAGAAATTGTAAGAGCGGCGTAACAAGGGTTTCAAGCTGGTGGAAAAAGATTGATGTGGAGGTAATATAACCTGAAAATGCAGAATAGCGCCAAAAGTTCCCGCCATTCTTTTTTTTTAATCTTAAAAGAAATTAAAATTTTATCATATGTAATTGTTTTAAAAAATATAATTATCTTTCATATTTAGTTATTTTTAAAAAAAAGTGAAATTCTATTATTCCCTCCGTTTCAAAAAGAATGACTTAATTTTCTTTTTAGTCTGTTTCAAAAGAATGACTCATTTCCTTTTTTGGCAACACTTTAACTTCAACTTTTCACGTGACATGTTTAAGGCTATAAGATTAAAGGGCATTTTGGTACATTTAACATAACTTTAATTTAGAATCACAAGATTAAAAAGTCTTATTTATTTTCTTAAACTGCGTTCAAAGTCAAACTAGGTAATTTTTTATGAAATGGATGGAGTATATGTTAAAAACCTCTCTTCTCATAACAAAAAGACAATAACACCCATAATGTAGGAAATTTTCTCTCAATAGTTTTATATTATTTTTTATATTAGGTTTTCACATTTAGGTCAATTGACCAAATCATATAATAATATTATGCATTTTAGTATAATTTTATTTGTTATATGATTTGCAATTATAAGCTTTCGCATGACGTTGTGATTACTCTCGAATCCAACATAGATTATGTTTGAAAGTAATTACAATGTCATGCGGAATTCAAGCAGATGACATGCGGAAATTTAATTGCAAATCATAAAAGCGATAAATCAAATGACAAAGAAAAACATACTTAAAAACATATTATTATAAGATTTGGTCAAGCGACCTACATATTATAAAAACTAATATATTGAAAAAACATGAACGTGTTGGAAGAAAATCTCCCTCTAAGAAAAACTCTCTAAACGAGACAACATTGTGGATATTCTTAACGACAATATTGTGGATGTTTTAACTCTCTAAACGACAATATTGTGAATGTTCTTATGTTATACTAAGAGAAGATGATCTTCAATTTATAGAGCTTCAAGTTTTTCCTTTAAGGAAAAAATATAACTAAATATGAAAAAGAATTATATTTTACTTTAAGGAAAAGTAAAACAATTATGTTATTGCTTTGACTTTCCTTCTTAAAAAAAAAGTAAAACTCAAATATAGTAAAAAATCATAACAAAATCCTAACAATCATGTCGATAATTTTATTTAACTTAGTAATGCAACAAATCGTTATTTGAGTTTTAGACTGATATGGGGCTTGAGGATGTTTAATTTGAACTTGAGTAATAGAAATATGAATGTTGGATGTCTTGAGTGTTGAAAGACGATGGCAATGCCACCGAAAATAACAAGCATGTTGTTCAAATTTCATGAGCAATTTTAACCTATTTTGACAGATGACAAGGACTAATTGACTATATGATAGATTTGACCCAAAATTATTAATAAAATATAAATTTAAACCATATTCCAAGAGTTCAAGGGTAATTTTACAGTTTTTTTGCCTTTATTGAAAATGTTAGTTATCCTCATTAGTATTTGGCATAACTGTTCTTTAAAATAATACATGTTTCACATAATTTCATTTCTCTATGAAATTTAAATTTATTTAAACTACAACTTTCTTTTAATCAAATTTATTTCTTTTAATTATAATTGATCACAGAAAAAATCATATTTCTTTGTTTATAATCAAACACATGATTTTTATCAAATATTTAAAACACTAAAAAGTTTTCCCTTTCAACAAAAGAAAAAGTCACAAAATTAAGAATAGCTTCCAATAATTTAAGGCCTTTGAATATGTAACAAACTCAATTCCAACAAAAGCACTCTTATATATATTAATCACTGAATACAAGTTATATCGTAGAGTACGCACACCAAAGTAATAACACACTAATTATGGATAGCTTAACTTAGAAGAAGGTAACTAGAAGGGGATGAGATACTAGACCATAGAAGGGAGATGAGAGGATCAGAAAGCCAAAGCTTCACATAATAGTTTTCATAACCTTTCTTCTAACTCCTAGTCCTTTTTAACAAATGGTTATTGGGCCTGGATCCCAAATAAAAGTCTCTAATAGCCCATAGGCCTTTCAGAGACAACTTGATTCACAACAATACTCCCGCCCTCAAAAAGAACCTTGTCCTCAAGGTTCGAGTGGACTCACCGTGACATTACAATAGTAACTCTGTCCAGGCTTGAAGGTGAGCCGAGAGCTACTGCTTTAGTGTTAGAGTGAAATCAAGAGTTGCTAACCTCAAGTACTGATGAATCAACTTCAGTACCCTTTGCAGATTCTAAATTACGAAGATGAATAACACAAGCCATGCCTCCTGTAATTACATCAGTGGTCAGGCTTTCATGTTCCACCAGTTGCTCTTCAATGCTTCTAAGGCCACCCAAAAAAATCAAAACTGTGCTTAAGTATTGTAGTAGCTAGTGTTAGTCTTACAAACACCACATTGTCCACTAACCAGTAATCACTTCCCTGTTAGTTAATGCAACAGTAGCAAATGAAATTAATATCCCTTAAAATTTCAAACTGAACAAATGTCCGATAAGTAGTGGTGTAAGCACCGCACCATCGTCGTCCTGGATCCCACACTTGTGTCATATGGTTAGCATATATAATGAAATAAAACGTGCTACTAGATCCCAACAAAAGTAATGTCTCTGCATTCACTGAATAACCTGTTAGAGCCATATCCATGGAGGTCATTTCATCTGAAAGTAGTTCACTTATTGGAATACCACTTTCATTCTTTATAAAAAAATTATCCAGATATAAATCCTCAATACTCTCAGGCTCCAAGAAAAATTCAGCAAGATACATGTCTGCAAAGAAATTAAGACCAACTTCTTGTTTACAAGAGCCACAATCCAGAGAAGTTGTTGTAACATACCTCTCTGACATATCTATTTGAGGATGCCCATAGAACAACTGGACTTTGCTGCCATCAGGACCTATAACATTTTCATCGCGAATTTCAAAAGGAGCACCTAATGCCACAGTAAATACCTTGGGGCAGTTACTATTTAACATTTCATCGAACACCTTGTGCTCATCAATTTTGATTGGGTTTTCTGATTGCTCATCATAGTTTTGAGGCAAGGGTGAATCGGTTACATGTGCAAGGCATGGCGAAAGTATATCTGGCTGGCCGAAATTCGACGAAACGACCTCTAAACGATTTGGGTACTCAGTCACAGAGGGTACCTGCCAGAGATTGGCAAATCTCCCTCCAGCAGACTCACATACTTTCTGTTTAAATCGAATTCTCACCTTTTCAGCGAAATGCATCCAATCAATTAATTGATTATTCCTTAATAACCATTGGTACCATTCCAATGCTTCACCATCAAGGTAGAATGACGCCACGTTAAGCTTTTGATCTTCCTCAATTTTATAGAAATTGAAATAATGTTCTGCTTGAACTATCCAAGCCTCTGTATTCTTGCCTCGAAACTGCCATAATTCGACGTCCATGACTGTGTTTTTGGGTTCAAAAGAAGTCGGATGCTTTTCCCCCAAAACCTCCAGCAACATTGAACGAAATTCAGTGAGATCTTTAGAGATGCAATCCTTCATTTCTTGTATTGAATTCCGAATGGAATCACCAACAAAAACCTCGAGTACTTTTTGGTCCTCCATTAGAGAGACCTCTGGATGAAAGCACCAATGTAACAAACTCAATTCCAACAAAAGCACTCTTATATATATTAATCACTGAATACAAGTTATATCGTAGAGTACGCACACCAAAGTAATAACACACTAATTATGGATAGCTTAACTTAGAAGAAGGTAACTAGAAGGGGATGAGATACTAGACCATAGAAGGGAGATGAGAGGATCAGAAAGCCAAAGCTTCACATAATAGTTTTCATAACCTTTCTTCTAACTCCTAGTCCTTTTTAACAAATGGTTATTGGGGCCTGGATCCCAAAATAAAAAGTCTCTAATAGCCCATAGGCCTTTCAGAGACAACTTGATTCACAACAGAATATCCACCAAAATAGTTCTAATAAAATTCTATTCCAAACACGTGTTTAGCTTTCAAACTTTCCTCTTTTATCGACACTTATTATGCATGGAAAGTGGACACTACTTTCTCCATACAAACTTATAACACCATATACAAGAGGGAGAATGTTATTACTTTTAATTTCCTTTCCAAATAAATATTAATTTCTATAGTTGAAATCTTGATTTTTTGAGATATTAAAAATGAGCCAAGAACAACCAAGGAGGGAAGAAGCAGAGCAAGAGCATGAGTCCATTAAACCTGAAGAGAATGTGAAAGATGTTCAAGAATCATCACTTGCTAGAAAGAAAGCTGTTGCTGAATCTATTGGTGGACAGGTTCTAAACTATATTTTTTCTATACTGGTTCTCGAACAGTGCGTTGCACGTATATTCTATGTTAATTAGTACAATTTTTTAAAAATAATAAAGAAGGAAATGAAGAGATTGAGCAGATGCAAGGATTTCAAAAAATGACCAAGCAAAATAAGTCACATGATATAAAACAAAGTCTGAAGATTGGAAACACAAGCAATGAACAACAAAGAACAAAATTCATTAAGAGCAAAACAAAGGTGAAACTAATATATAAAAAGAATATACCTTTGTTGTAGAAAGTGCTGAGAATACAACAACTATTGAATATTTTTAAAAAGAAGGCATATAATAATAGAGCAACTTTCACATATATCAAACACAAAAATCATATTTGTATGCTATAACTATAGTTTGCATAATTACACTCCATAGCAAACTTTGTTATGCTATTTCGCTATACATATATACCAAAGGCAGTGGTTATTTCGCTATACATATATACAAAAGAAACAATTGTATAATTCGCTGGCTCCTCTTCAGATTTGTATAATTTCGCTGGTAGGCCATTTGTATAAATTGCTGCCAGCCTCTCGTTTGTATAAATCGTTGGTATCCTCTCAATTCAATTTTATGTGTTTGTATATCCGTATAAAATTTGAATTTGTATACAATTGAATCGAAATAAAACGTTT